TTATAAATAAAATGCATTATTATTATTTATTATTATTATAATGATCAAGTATAAATTATCAAGGCAATGTTAGATTTGTCTAACTCACAGGAAGTTGYAATTTGTTTTACACTCTCCAAATGCCCAGCCTTGCAGGAAACTCCCCTGCCATCTGGAAAACTTCGGACAGAGGAATGAGTAATAAAGCAAAAAAAAAGTGAGTTAACGACAGAGGCAGAGGCAGTAATTGAAGAATAGACAAACAACTTGGATCCAAAGAAAAACAGCACTAGATTTATCATCTGGCTGTGGCTCAGGTTTTGCAGGAAAACGTTGAGAGAAAAAAAATGCGRTTGTCTGAAAAGCATGCCCTGAAAGCATTGCCTCGAAAGGTACAGCAGTGGGATTCACCACATGAAATATCATCCACAGCTGAACAAAAAAAAAAAAAAACTGTTTTAAAGCCTGCAGGTCCACTCGTAGCTTTATGAAAACAACCTGTCGCAAAGCAAATGACGGCTTTTTTGGTTTGTTGAATTTTTCCGGGAAATCTAACCCACAGAAACAACATACCATCATTGTCCGTTAGTATTCAGRAATCATGTAAAGATGCAAATCTCAAAATATAACGTACCTGTCTTGGTATTTATTCTTGTTTTGTTTAAGTTTTTTTTTTTATTTCAGTCACATCTGGTATTTCTGTCTCTGTGCACACAATACAATTGAATTGTGCTGTTTTCAGTAATTTTAATATTGTTATTGTTACAAGCATGATCCAATAAAAATAAATAAATAAATAAATAAATAAAGTGACTTTAAAGTACTTTTTAACTTATCTTGCACACACACATTTTGTGTTGCACCATTTCACTGCTTGTTTACCAGTGAATGGAAAAGGTTTGTTGCCCTTGTCTTCATGCCTATATTTGTGTGTCTGTCTCCTGAACAACGGCACAGATATAATATAATGTTCAGAAAGTAATAATCTACAACTGATTAGGATTTGGAGTCAGTCCAATTCAAGACGGTCCCCAAAACGAATCAACACTATTCAACAAAAAAAATGTTGTATAGGTATTGAGTAGGGATGCAAACAATTCATTTGTAAAATAACAGTTTATTTTAGATTGAAATTTGATTGCTTAGACCCAATTTCAGCATAATATTCAACACATGCAAATCTTATTTTGTTTTATTTGTGACACAACAACAATAATGGACAATAATTTCGAAAATCGATGGAAAAGCACTGAAAGCTGTATCAGATCGTCCAGCAGTATGACGCTCAAAACAAGAGAGCAGGACGACTGAAAACAATAAGCTAATTGTAGCTAATGTTAGCGTCTAGTTGTTTACTTAATCATAGGTGGAAAAAATTAAATTAAATTAAATTAAATTAAATAAAAAAAAACATTACAGCCGGTTCAAACGGTTAAGGTAAAGTTACTCTCATCTGTGTGATGTTATCTCCCCCAATTATCAATTAATCATCAAGAAGATCAATCAATTTTAGATTAATTCATTAATCAGTAAAAAAATCATTAATCAGTAACTTGCATCCCTAGTATTAGTATTAGTAGCAGAACCATAATTTCTGAACATGGCGACCTTAATCTAAAAYTATTGACCTTAAAGGTGGTGAGCAAAATGCATTCCTCTACAAATTGTTGGGCCTTGATTATTTTAAGAACAAATGTTGAGCTTGCTGTGTCTGGAAACGCTCTGAAGCACAACCATAGTGTTCCACATGTTCCTCACTCATCCTCTTTTTTTGTTCTGCCATCTCAATCCTCACAGCACTCCCCATGTTCTTCAGCATTTCAACCGATGATTTAAAACGATTGTTCCAACTGCATGCCAAATATATTATTGTCCTACAATTCACTGTAGTCATTTGGGGTTTTGACGCCGCACACATTGCTATTGCAACAATAAATTCATTGTTTATCTATCGTGCAGCTCCGATGTCGAGGCAAAAACCGGACGTTTACGACACAAAACACAGCACAGACCTGCAGGTTGCAAACAAAGCGGCTCAGAATCAGAGACTCGGTTTCATTTCAACTAATATTTCCAGTGTTTATGGAGCGAGGCTTGTCTGAACCTGCAGCTTGGACACAAATTAACAGATACCACATTTGAAGAAGATGGCAAGCATTCTGAATCTAAAGAGTGTTTGGGCAGAGCTGAGGATGACGAGTTGAGACAGATGAAGCTAATGTATACAACAGGGCTATTCAACTGGCGACCCGCGGGCCACATCCGGCCCGCGAGTGACCAAAGTTCGGCCCGCCAATTGGTTCATTCATCTCTTATGCCCAAATCCCTGGTTTTCTACTTTAATTACTCTAAGTTCTTTTGGTTAAACAGACATGTTTGGTATCTACAGAAACATCAGAGTCTTGGCTAGAAGCTGGTAAAAACCATTTCTATAAATACTCAAGACAGTGAAAACTACTAGCAGTTGAAGATAAAATGACGAAAGTGAAAATAAAAGTGTTTTAAAAATTTGGCAATCAGAGATGTCAAAATATTTGTGTCAAATAGGAGGCATAATGTGTTCTTTTTTTGTTTTTGATAATGTGTAATTA